GCCCCGGGTTGCAGGCTCGATCCCCAGTGGGGGAGGGGGGTGCAGGAGGCTGCTGATCCATGATCCTCTGTCATCATTGATGTTTCAATCTCTCCCTCTCTCTTCCTCTCTGAAATCAATAAAGATATATTTTTAAAAACACCGAGCATTTTGGGAAATAAAGACATTTCTCCTGGTTAGGTGCAGAGAGAGAGGGGCCAGTAGGGGCGGAGAATTAGGGCCAAGGGAGAGGGTTTAGTTCCAGGCCACTGGTGAGCCACGGTAGGATTTTAAGCAAAAGAGAGGTTGTGTTAGAGAGGGAGAATCAGATTTCTATCTCATTTTTTAAAATATATCTTTATTGATTTTAGAGCAGAAGGGAGAGGGGGAAAGAGATAGAAACACCAATAATGAGAGCGAATCATTGATCGGCTGCCTCCTGCATGCCCCCTACTGGGGATCGAGCCTGCAACCCGGGTATGTGCCCTTAATTGGAATTGAACCTGGGACCCTTCAGTCCTCAGGCTGCTGCTCTATCCACTGAGCCAAACTGGCCAGGGCCAGATTTCTATTTTAGAAAGATCCCTCTAAGTGCGGCACAGAGATAGAATCGGAGCCAGTGAAGCTAGAGGCTGGGAGAGCCTCGAGGAGGTGGATGGAGGGCCTCGGGTGGGAGAAGAGGAGTCGGAGTAGGGGCCTGAGGATGGGAAGACAGACAAGAGACACTTAGGGAGTAGAAGGAATTTCAGCGAATCCCTAGAGCCGGCCGCATGAGAGCATTACCATTATTTCTCCTAGTTCACAGGAAAGGGCTCCACGCTGGCATCTGCTCCTTTCCCTGCCTCGTTACCCCACTCTGGGTACCAATTTGTCCTTCAGCTTGACCTCTTGGGCTCAGAGGGATGAAAGTCCCAAGGTCCCAAAGCTAGAAAGTGGCAGAGTCAGGATTCAAATCCAGCAACAAGAGGTGCTGTCAGCCCTAACCAGTTTGGCTCCGTGGATAGAGCATCGGCCTGTGGATTGAAGGGTCCCTGGTTCGATTCTGGTCAAGGGCATGTACCTTGGCTGCAGTCTCGATCCCCAGCAGGGGGCGTGCAAGAGGCAGCTGATCCATGTTTCTAACTATCCCTCTCCCTCTCT